GACCTAGAGATTGGTCAAAAAATGACATCGATCGAGTGGAAAGACGCTAATATTCCCTGAGTGTTGCTCGACCGAAGACCTTTCATTACTACATGGCGCTTTTGGATGGTGCCTTGAAGTGTTCCGGATCACCGACTAGTACTTACCGTCCCCGATCCAGTGAATGTCTTGGGGAATACAACGTTTGTGCAACGAGGCAGTCGGCAGTGTTGAGAAGGTGAACACGCACTGCTGCAGCTCCAACCCTGCAGAGTCTGAGAAATGTTGAGCCTGCCAGTTTGGAGAGTGTTACCTAAAGGTAAGGAGATGTGTCTTTATCAAAAGAACCAGTTGGCATTGTAAAGTGACTCAGAAGTTCAGACAGAAAAAACAACGCATTTTAAAGTTACTGATTTGACGAACATGTAAGAGTACGTCTCGATCACTGCACTCTTTGATCTTAGAGCAATTTTCAATTGCGTGATGTAGATTATCCAGAATAGTTCTGGTTTTTAGTTAACTTTACATGCGCGTCACCCTATTAAAAGATTAAATGCAAAACTGAAATCACTCTCGATTTGGTCGCCCTCATTTTCCCCGCTTTCAAGAGTTTCTGTTTTTACTTTGCGTTATTACTGGCTTGGCTGATGTCAATTTACGTTCAGCCTGACCATTATCGACTTGTTTTTGGCTTTTCGACACCTCGAAAACTATTCCATTTGGGCCATATAGTTCGCTTGTCTCGTAGTTGCATGATTGTGTCCCTTAATACGAAGATAAATATTTTCCAAGGGAAGCTTATTCAACAGATAATGCAGATCAATTCTACATGTAGATAACAGCTCGATTTTGCAGTCAGATTTGTTAATTTATTCATTTTAACATTTTGACCTTATAAGGTGAATTAGGATGACTATCATTTACAAGTCGATGTTCTTCAGCGCAAGAAGTTACGTTAACACGTATACCACATTTGTTTTCTAAAGATACAATGAAATTTTTCTCATTATTTTTTTCAGGAATTGATTAGGGAAAAACTAGTGAGAGGGATTTGGTGAGAACGTTAAAGCATTTCAGCTTTAAAGTCTTGCAGACGTAATCGTAACCATTCAGGAAAAACTGCGATTCTAGAGGAGAAATAGAGGTCTTATAACGTGCATATACATATCTACATGTCAGAGTGGTAACTTTTTCTTGAGGAAGATACAACCGAGTAGCTTTTATTTTCTGTATTAAGTTTGTATTTTGGTATTTCGTAAGATAACATGGAGCTGGAGTTAAGCAACTGTTAATCCAAGGAGTAGTCTAAGCAGAAACTAAAAAATTAGACATGGCATTCCACACGACTTGACACGTCCAGAACGTTCAACTTGCTCATGACTGAGATGTGCACTTACGGGGCCTAGTTATGGACTTCCCGCGGGCTAATACTTGCCACGTGACTTATATTTCGTTTTGTTTAAGCTTGAGCAAGAGTAGAAGAAACATTACTTAACATCGGTTGACTGTACATAACTGTATGATTTACAAAATGTAGCCATCAAAGTATTTTTTTATGCCAAGACGTATTCTTCTATGTGAAGGGTTTTTTAGGCAAGGAAGTGGTATAAACATGACTGATCCCAATTTGAATTTCTAACACGTAATGGAGTGAGTCAAGAACCAATACCTTAGAGACGACTTGATGCGGACGAAAGATAAAAAAAACCTTATCCTATAAATTTCTTAATTGACCATTCATAAAAGGAAGTGTCACAGTGGTTATGAAGCTTGATCATTCTTTATTATTTTTGTAACTCCATAAGGAACGAATCAAATTTTCCATTCTTGAAAGGATTTCATTCTAGCCTCTCACTGTAAGCTAAACTGTAAAGAGTCTTTGAGTTAATTCTAAATATTCATTTCAAAAGAAAAGAAATTTTCTCTATGGTAATTGAGGCATCCCGTTAACTTTTAGCAAAAACATTTCGAAGCAAGTTTCGTGAAGAATTAATCCCACGTAAAGATTTCTAAGATGGTCTCGAAGGGGTTAACCGTCAACCGTCAAATGGCCAAAATATTAACTGTCAACGTCAAAAACGCTATATTTTTACCGCCAACCGTCAAATAAGCAAACCAATGTTAGCTGTCAAATGTCTCAGATATCCTTAATAAGTATATACTAAAACAGTGGATAGCGTTGAAGGCGCGCTCTGATTGGTTACTCAAACTCCGAATATCCTTTGCTATTTACCTCCGAGCAACTCGGGAAAAAATGGCGTCCCGGTTTGCATCCGTGACAAGCGAAGAAATCACTCAAATAACGACGAAGCAGTCCCTGAAAACACAGAAAGCGACTAAATTTGGTTTGGCCGTGTTTAAAGATAATGGTAACCGGGAGTTTATCGATAAAAACCAATGAAAAAGGTTTTGTTTACAAATGCAAATTAATCTTGCGTAACCTCACTTGTTCACTTGAAAATCAAAGTTAAATGGTATTTTTCACAGAATGGTTTCAAATACAGAAAGAGTTTGCAACACCATTTGAAGAAATGTCGCCACTAGAGCTAAACAAATGTCTTCAGAAATTTTATCTGTCAGCAAAAAAACGAAACGGCAGGTTTTACAACCAAAAATCAGTTACCGCGATCCGAGCCGCGTTGGATCGTTACGCGCGGGAAAATGTTGGAATCGTTGCTGTAATGTATGAATTAAAATCAGCTTTTGGTGGAGTATATTATCTCACTCTTTTAGTATATACTAAAACAACTATTCACCTCAGTGTCGGTGGTTAGCGGTGAATATTTACCTCGCCGCTTCGGTGTCGTACAACGTTAGTCAATTTTTAAGAAAAGGTTTTATTAATTAACAGTTCTTTACAAACGTGTCATTAGGGAAACTTACGGCAAATTTCGTACGTTTAGTTTCTTTTATAAACGACATTCCAAAAAATTAACAGTCATCGTCAAATGACCTAAAATTTAACTGTCAAAAGAGTTTCTTTTAACCGTCAACAGTATCCTTGACCCTATCTCCCCACCCACCAGTGAGACCCTCTTCTAACCCCCCAAAGAACAACTTTGTTTTTGAATATCATATTTGAGTATAAATGTTAATACATGGGCTTTTCAAAAGCTTATGTTATAGGGATCCTGCACAAAACAACAATTAAACAGTCGGTCTTCAGAGCAAGGAAAATTAAAACTTTGAGGAAGTTTGACGAATAGATTGGTGACCGTGACATACTGTACAGGAACTATGTTTTTTCTCTCTCAAATTGCTCTGACGTATTTATTAGTGAGCCTTCTATAAATACAGAGCCGTAACGGTTCGAAAGATGAATTATCCTCACAGGTGGCTTTTATTAAAATCGACAAAGTTTAACGAGGCGACACGTGTAGTGTAGGTCCAAAAGATTTTACTTCACTATCTGCTTCCATCCCTCTCGAATTTGTGAATGAGCATGAAATAGCAAAAAGTGTATTTTAAGAAACTAGACTATACGACAGTGAGATCGGCAGTCAAGTCTGTCTTAACAGCTTTAAAAGAGGACTGAAAAATAAGGTGGCAACTTAAACTCAAACTAAATATATTTTAAGTCGTAGTTTGCAGCAGAATTTCTGTCATAAATTTCCTTTGACCTCAATTTCGTCCAAATGCAATCGTTTTTTCGCTACTGGATCGTGTTGGGATGACTAATGCAGTCTTACCTTTCACAGCTAATAAAAAATTTCCAGAGATAAAAACAATCAGCATCAGCATAGTTGAACAATTTATCGTCGCAGACCAAATGGCCGTGATCTGTACCAGTGATCTGTGATCTATATATGATTTAGTAAAATGAATTCTTGCATTTATACATAGATCACTGTTGTTGTTGGCCAAAATAGCTTCCTGCATGAGCAAAGTATCGTGTGTAAGACAAGGAAGTATTCTTAAGCTTCATACTTCCCAAACGATGCCATTTCACCGGCGCACGTTTTCCACCTCTGAGTGTTTGATTTTGACCTAAAGGGCAATGACATCACATAGCACCATGATACACATTGCCGCATGATTCACAGAGTAGTAAAGTTTGTAGATTACTCAGCCATTTGTTTTATTTAGTTGGAAAAACCCCTCTAAAACATTTCACACCCAAAAGCGAGATCCCCTTTGTAAACGTTGTTATAAGAGAATAACCTCGTTTTATAGCAAGGCCAATCTTGAACCATTTAATGAAATGCCTTTGCCATAAGATCAGTGCAGAATCTCGAAGAGGGGACGTGTCTGAATTTGACTACAGATCNGAAATGACTCATCACGTCTCCTGTACTAACTATGGTTTCCCACCATTTCTACACGTTGTATAGTATAGGTAGGTAGGTAGACTTTGCTTAGCCAGGGTGGCCCATTCAGCAACGAGGCTGATATCCAGAGGGGCCCTGGTTAAGAATATTCAAGACATCTTGAAAGCTAAAAATACAGGATAAAATTTAAACAAACATGCAACAGTTTACAAGAATATAGTGTCTATAAAATTTTAAAATTTGTAGGTATTAATTAAAACTTTGAAGGAAGAAAGTGATTCGGCTTTTTGAATACAACGAGGTAAAAAGGTTAAAAAGAGCCGAGCCCGAATACCTCAAGGTTTGTTTTGCAAGGCTTAGTTTCGGTTTGGGCAGGTGCAAATCTGTTCTCCTGCGAGTATTATAGCTATGTACATTACAATTTCTAGTGAAACAGTCACTCATAAATTCAGGTACTAGATTATTTAGGTATTTAAATACTAAGGTACATCTATGTCTTTTCTGTTTTGTTTCTAGTTCAGCCCACCCTAAAACATTAAAAGTGTATTTTGAAGAGTCATGCCTTAAAACGAAGCTGGCAGCGCGATTTTGTAACCGTTGTAGGGTTTTGCTGGAGATGGCTGACAATTCACCCCACACGGTGTCCGTATAACACAAGATTGGCTCTATAAGTGTATTGTAGACACAATTCGCTGCTTTAAGAGTAAGGCAAGATCTTATTCGGGCTAAGATGCCCAGTCGCCTGTTGACTTTGTTACAAATCGTGTCAATATGCTCTTTCCAGTGAAGCTGCTCGTCGAGCATAACCCCGAGATTATTAAACTTCGTCACTCTCTCTATGTCCTTTTCTTGGAAAGGACATAGAGACGTGGTGATCAACGAGATCAAAGGCCTTTTTTAGATCGATAAAGGCAGCTCCGGTTAACTGTTGCTTGTCCATGTGATTTGTTAACTGTTGCTTGTCCATGTGATTTGTTAACTGTTGCTTGTCCATGTGATTTGTTAACTGTTGCTTGTCCAAGATTCGTTATACCAAACAGCATGAGTATAACGTCGTTTGATAACATTGCAAGTGTTGAACCATTCGAAGAATGTGTTTGCCATTCGATGAATGTGTTTGCCATTCGATGCTAGAGACAGAATGCAGAAACTCGAAAAGGGGGCGTCTGAGTTTTGAATGCGGATCTCTTAGAAGGTTAAAGCAGGCACGGGCTTAAATGTACAGTACATGAACTATTGTCCCTCTCTTTTCTTTTTTTTTCTGAATAGATTCCCTTTCGTGCAAGAGTATCGAGAGAATCAATTAAAGGTTGGGTAAAGCGGATAAACGAGGGATTAATTCAGTAAATCTAGCCTTTCGCCTTTTTTTAACTTTGCAATAAGCCCATTTAAAAGTGGCCTGCAGGTGAAAACCTGTTGTTGGCCAAAATTCAAACTTACACTTTTGAAATAATGAAAGGCTTAATTTAGATAAAACTAATTAGACTGGTCGCTTTTGATGATAGTTTTGCAATGATCAATTCAAAAGTACAAATTGTATATAGTGTGCGTGTCCAAGCCATGTATATATTTCAAACTGAGAAGATTAGCATGCATTGTAAGTTTCCAATTTGAAAAACATTAGCGACTTAAGTTTTCCACAATCCATAAACCATGAATGGTTAATTAATTTTGTTTATCATTGTTTTTCTTCTGGCTCGTTTTGGCTCCTCAACTGGCTTCTCATTGTGTTTGATTCTGACCCAGAGGGTAACTAATAACGATAGCTTTCACATAACCGCATGATTCTTTAGATTGTAAAAGTCATTATTATTCATTTACATGTCACGGAATAAGAATAGCGTCTATTGGATTTGTTATCCTCGTTCCTCAAAGCCTCCCGACGCATGTAAATGAGCTGGTGAAAATAGTCGGGTACTCTAAAGTTGTTCCAAAAGAGTAAAGTGGAGGCAGGAAGGTTTCAGTTTGCGTTTAATTTCACCTTTCGTTAGCTGCTTGCTTCACTTAAAACTTATTCCGAGTTACAACCCAAGTCGACCGATCGTTAGCTGGAACAAACGCGGCTTCGTGTGCCTCTTCCTGCCTTGCTCTGATCTAACTATCTGTGTTGACGTTGAAAGAAATCCTGGTCCTTGTTCTTCTTCGTTAAATAATACGGCCCATTTTACTACAAGCTCTTACAATGTTCGTGGACTTGACCTGAGACATCTGAAGCATTATCAACCTTCGTGCATAATTTACGAGAGGAACCGGCTACTATCTCTTCGTCATTGGAGTAAGCACTACTGTTCGCCTGCATTTCTGGGGAAGTTCAAAGCTATGAATCTTTTGAGATACCGGGGTAAACGTGCTGGAAGGTCTTAATAATTTTGAAGCGCCTTAGAGCTTTTGGATAGGGCGCTTTATAAATTGTCATTTATTATTATTATTATCATTATTATTCTTATTATTATTATTAAAACGCACTCTAACGGTTGTATTTATGATTTGTTGCTCTTAGTGAAACACCTCTGTATGGTGCGCAAAAAATATCTGTAAAAACCAGAGACCGTAAAGCGGAGAGAAAAATTAAAGAGAGCGTAAAACCTGGTTCTTATCATATGCCACAAACATGCTTGGAACATAACCGTAAGGTAAGGAGCCGTAATGAATCCAGCACCAGTGCAATGTTAAGCGGAGTTCAAGTTCGCAGGCAAGTTAATGGTTGTCGTCAATGAAAACATTTTATGTGAAAATCATCTGAATCTTTGCGATATAAATTAAAACAAATCAAATCATTGCATTTTTTAATTCCACGACTTCTTGGGTGCCTCATGGCCCGTAAGAAAGATTTCTTTGAAATGCACTGAACTCAACTAGACTAGATATGAAGCTCTTAGGAAGTTTGAAGAGCACATACCCTAAAAAGTTTCGTCTTGCGGAATCTTTATATGTCGATATTTCACCCAGAACGGAGCTGTCCTGCAAATTCACTGATACCAAAAAATAAGTACTGATATTTTGCGTGCGACTCGCGTGCGCGTGCTTTGGGACTACGTAGGCTAATAATATCGTAAGAAAATCACGCGGACCTTTTAATTTTGACGTGTGCGATTTTTTAGAGGGTGCCAGATCCCTTCGAACCATTCGTCACGGAAGCAACGTTGGCCGTGAAATCGTGGTTACGCTATTTACGCTGGGTTCCTCGAGACTTCGAGGGCAAGTGGCTTCGAATTATCTTTCCTATTCAAACACTTTGATTTCAATACCGAATTCTCGAACCTTCCAAAAACTAAAACCAGTTTTATTTGTTCTGAGAATATTGAAAAATGGAAAGTCACAAGATGTTGAAAATGTCGTGCTAATGAGTCTTTCTCCTTGGAATTAAGTTAATGATAGTACTTTGCGATACCATTTATTCTAAAAGTAATTTCTTTAACGATGAAACGTGAACTCATGTCACCTCAAAAAATGTTCGATTACAAAATTGTCTAAATGACAAACGCACATGCGTAGCTTGATGGTAAACAGATATGTCTTCAGCGCAGCGCTAGTTAATGTCACGGTAATTCTGCGGTCATGCGCGCGCGCATAAGTGTACATATGACTGTCAATTATTTCAGCAAGTCTGAGAAGGAAAAGAGATATTTTTAATTATCTTAATTTTCACCGATACGTGTCAACATTCTGATTAAGACCTTTTCTGAATTCTTTTATTCCTTCTATAACTTTTCATCATGTTTATTCTAAATCTGCTTTACGTAACAAGCCTTTTAAACGATGTGGAGTCTGCAAGGGAAACATGCAAATTATAAGTCAGTTTAATTTACTGAATTAACGTTTTTTAGCTTTTAAATCATGAGCGTTTTTTTTTTATTACATTTGATTCGACATGTTCTTTTCAAGTAGTTTCATAAAACACTTCAACTTCATCAGGCTGAAAAGTGTAGCTTCCTGCCAGGAATGATTTGGTGAAGGAGCTGCCATAACTGTGGCCAGCTGGTGGACTGTAGGTGTATCCAAGGTATGAATAGGAATTTTTATTGGATGAGGCGTAGCTGGCAATGTAAAGATCGTGTCCGTTACCAAATGAGGGTCCACGGTCGTAACAACTGTACATGGAATAAGCATTATTGGAACCATATTCTCCTGTTTGAGACAGTTTCACTGGTCGCCAGCCTGGCTTGTTAACCAATGAGAATAAAAAGGCTGATGAACTGTACCGGTACGCACAACTGGAAGCTAATTCAGAGAGGAAAATGAATAAAAAGTTGTTAGTTAAACTTAAGAAACTTTCCAGTTTCATGTATTAGAAAAACGTTTAAAACACGTGTTGATTCGCGGCAAGGCATCTCAGTTGCTTTACGATGCTTACACTGATTGCTTTGTCGTGTAATTTTGGTATAACATAACATCCGTTACACAGGGTTTGAATTTTTAACAGTTCTAACATTCCACGTACAAAAACAGCTAACCGTGAAAAAAAAGTTAAACACCAATTCGAAATATAAATGCCCTGTTATTTAAACAAAGCTTACACGTTGTTCGAAAAAACCGCGTCCTAAACAATCCTCAGGACCAACGATGTCGATCTGAACTTAGTAATGATTTACGCTCCCACCAATCCATCTGAACGAAAAGTTTTTTTCGACTCTCTACATGACTTTCTTATTCCATCCTCTGTGACTATCATTTGCGGAGATTTTAACTGTTATGATAGCGCTCTAGACAAATTTGGGGGCAACGTCGCTATTCATAAAGATTACGAGTCATTGAAAAGTGTTTTCACTCTTATCGATGTATAGCGTAAATTGCATCCTAGTCAAAGGCAATTTACGTGGTTCAATTCCACCTCAACAATTACGAGTAGACTCCCCTGAGACAAAGTGTGATATTCTTCCTTGTTCATTTTCTAATCACAACTTTGTCTTCCTTGTTTTTGACTTTCCCAGTAGCATAAAACGCGGTCCTCGTGTCTGGAATTCTAACAACTGTCTTTTGAAAGACAAAGATTTCTGCATTGCTATGGACAATTTAATCGATGATCAAATACGTTTCTTACACGCTTTCGTTTGCATCCAGGATTGGTGGGAGTTTCTAAAACCGCCCGTTAAAGAAGAAGTGATCTCCTTTTCCGTAAGAAAAGGAGACGGTTACATAGAGATGAAGTTTTCTTAACCTATAAATAATTCGACTTCGGCAACGTCTAGTTAATGGTGACACAACCGTCTCCGATTCCATATCCAATACAGAAAGCCGTCTGAAAGCTGTCCGTACCGAAAAAGCAGAAGAAATTATGATTCGTAGCCGTGCCAAATGGTTAGAAGAGGGCGAACGCCCCCAGCCGATATTTCTTTGATTTACAGCGAAGTAAAGCGCAAAGATCGCACATCTCTTCAATGTACGATTCAGACGGCAATGGGGTCTTCTCTCAAGAGGAAATTGCGAAAACGCACGTAGATTTTTACTCTCGACTCTTTTCCGAAGAGCCGGTAGCTGTCGCGGTGCAAAACGATCTTTTTTCTTCCTTGTCTCGTCAACTCACGTCCGATCGGGCATTCTCTTGCGAAGGTGCCTTGACGCTCGAGGAAATTACTGTCGCTCTGAATAAAATGAACACAAACAAAGCTTCCGGCCCTGATGGCCTTTCGGTCGAGTTTTACTCAAAGTTCTGGGACCGTTTGGGTCCATATCTGTGCCAGGTATTCCATGCATGTTCCCAAGCTGGAGAGATGTGCGAGTCTATGAAAACTAGTAATGCTCGAGTCATTTTCAAGAAAGAGGATCGCAAAGATCTTAAAAATTGGAGACCAATTTCCTTACTAAATGTCGATTATAAGATATGTTCCAAGTCTCTTTCCCTCCGTCTCTCTAAAGTTTTACAGTTTATCGTTGATCCTGATCAAACCTGTTCTGTACCCGGTCGGAAAATTACGTCAAACCTACACCTCTTGCGGGATATTTTAGACTATATTAAGCGCACTAACGATGCTGGCATTCTACTCAGTCTCGATCAAGAGAAAGCCTTCGATCGAGTTAATGGCACCTTTTTATTGAATCTCTTAAACCGATTTGGTTTTAGTTCATCATTCTGCCACTGGGTTAGCACACGCAAGTCGTCGTTAATGAATAATTAACTGAAGCGATACCTTTGTCTCGCGGAGTGAGAAGGGGGATTCTCTGTCACGTTTGTTGTATATTTTTTTATGTGTTGAAACTCTCGCCTGTAAAATCAGAAACAATCCCGCCATAGAAGGCTTTCTCTTACCCGGCGCACGCGGAATAAGATACAAAGTTGCGATATATGCTGATGAAACGACCTGTCTTGTTAAATCTACTTGTTCGTTGGCATCTCTCTTTGATACCATTAATATTTACGAAGGCGGTTCTGGAGCGCGCCTAAATGTCGCCAAAACGGAGGCCATGTGGTTGGGCGCGTGGCGTACACGAAGCGATCAATCATATGGCCTCAGATGGTTCACCAAAATGAAAACCTTAGGAGTTGTTTTCAGCAACGATACTGAAGTGGATAATTGGCAACCAAAACTTGAGAAGTTGGAAAAACATCTTAATCTCTGCAAATCTCGTTTTCTTTCACTCGTTAGCAAATCTCTTTTGGTCAATGTCATAGGAATCAGTAAACTACTCTATCTGTCTTCGGTACTGTGCGTCCCTCGATGGGTTATTTGTAAAGTAAATTCGCTAATTTGGCCTTTTGTTTGGGGCTCTCGTACTGAGATAGTAAGTCGAATGGCCTGCCACCAGCCTTTTAACAAAGGTGGCCTCGGAAATTTCAATTTCCAAATCAAAGGTGACTCCTTAAAGCTAGCCTCTCTAGTTTCCAATCTCTCTAACCCCGAATCAAAGTCCTTTTACCTAACCAAATACTTACTGGGATTTAGGCTTGCTTCTTTTCGGCCGGAGTGGCATTCTCTTCGCGACAATTCCCCTCCGAGTTCGCATGACTCTACATCATATTACGAGAAATGTTTTTCGGCGCTTACCACTCTTCACAGGATTGTGTTCCGCAAAGGCTGGCAAGACTTTAATTTTACCTCTAAGAAATGCTATCGGGCCCTCTCAAGAGAGAATTCTGCTTCCCCGATTCTTCACCATTTTTGGTCCCCCTTTCTTCCTATCGAATTCAAACTTAACAATCTCTGAAAATTGGTTAGAGAAGACTTTTCTGAAAACTACAAGAATGATGTGTTGTGGTCAATTGTCCGTCGGGCCATTAAAGTCCGCGATTCCCTAATACATTGGGGCTATATTGATTGTGATAAATGTCCTACTGCTCTCGAAAATAAACAATAGATCACTGTTTTCTTAACTGTTCCCGTGCTAAAAAAGTGTGGTGCTATTTTTCTCCTGTGATCTCGAAAAATGCGCGACTGGCACGTATTCTGATCAAAACGATCTTGTATGGCAGTTGGAAGTTTTGTAATAATGCTACTTTTCGCAATGGAAAGGAAAATCATGAGGGTATAATCCGTTTTTTAAAAACTGGATCATTGGATAATGCAATTCAAGACTTTTTTTATTGGCTTAGCCATTATGGTATATGAACCAATATACCATAATCTACAAATATGGTCAGCGTAATCGTCAACTTAAAATGAAAAGGGAGCTAAAAAATTTAGTAAAATTTAATATCGAATTTAATGTTTTTAATAAAACAATTATTCCACTCGCGCTTGTTGGATATGAGATGATTATAGCCAACTCGGCGCTACGCGCCTCGTTGGCTATCT